GGTTCAGAAAAGATTCACAAGGGTGTTGCTGGGGTTGGAGAGTTTGAGCTATAGGCAGAGGCTGAACAGGCTGGGGCTATTTTCCCTGGAGCATCAGAGGCTGAGGGGGAACATTATAGAGGGAAATCATGAGGTGCATGGACGGGGTGAATAGCCAAGGTCTTTTTTTCCCAGGGTAAGTGAGCCCAAAATTAGAGGGCATAGGATAAAGGTGAGAGAGGAAAGATTTAAATGGGACAACTTTTTCATGCAGAGGGTGGTGCATGTGTGGAATGAGCTGACAGAGGAAGTGGTGGAGGCTGGTACAATTACAACATTTAAAAGGCATCTAGATGGTTATATGAATAGGAAGGGTTTAGAGGGATATGGGCCAAATGCTGGCAAATGGGACTAGATTAATTTAGGATGTCTGGTTGGCATGGATGAGTTGGACGGAAGGGTCTGTTTCCATGCTGTATGCCTCTAACTACTCTAGCAATACTAATGTAGCAGATGGCAGCTACCCAGACCTAACATGGTTATGGCCACAACACACGAAGGTTGCAATTCTTCAATCTTTAACATTGTTTGGTTTATTCTGTTTGGATGACGTTGCTATCTGGTTGGAAGCCAAGCAGAAACATCAGGACACTGGAAATATGGAACTCTGGAGTAGATAACACATCAAACAGTTGCCGAAAAGATTTAAAGATGTGAGAGAAATCTACAGCTAATGTTTTTTTGTCAGGCAAGGGCATAATGAGGTAAAAGTTCGCCTGATCTCCTGTCATAACTTTGGCAGTAATGCCAGAAGCAGATTGGAAGGAGCCAATTCTAATTTCAAGCGCTGACATCTAAGAATCATTATATTCCTGGTTTCACAGAGTCACACCTGGCTGCCTCCCAGTACAGTTCCATCAACAAGAATTGATACCTGTCTTTCCTGATAAATACACAACCTTTTACATTTGTCTATTAATTGAAACCCACACAATGCACTCACTACCTGAGAACCAGCAACTTACTGTCAAAAACACCAACTAGAACCAAGGGACAAAAATGGGATATCTGGTTTCAAACAAAAATCAATCTGCTCGACAAACGCCGAAGCGGATCTTAACACAACTCAACACACGTATGCAAACCACAGACAAATGTCTACTGATATATAGCTATACAGGAGCATATGGCAAGCGATAAAGAGAGGACGGTGCATTTGACACACAGTATTCTTTGTATTGCTCACAGTGTTCTGTTCAGATTCTATTCCCCCAACTTTGATTTAAAAAGCAAAGGTACGTTTTGAAAATATCATGCAGCAAGAAAATTTCTTACCTAGAACTGCAGAACTTAGAGCATCAGATGAGGCTGTTGAGCTCATCCTACTCATGCAGGCTCTGCCACTAAATTCATCTCTTCACATTCAAATCCCCTGCCTCTTCATGTGGCTTTTAAATTCTTCCCGTACCTTACCGTATGATGAAACCCTATTTTGGTCCTATACATCTGCGCATGTTGTAGCGTTCTAGAAACTTGATGATCCAATATTAGTTTCAATTGAGTTCCACTCCTAGTTGCTACATTCAGTTTCACCTAGAAATAGGTACAGAGCTTATTGTGAGGGTTTTAGTAGGTCACTCAAGATTGATCAGCAATCCTTGAACAATCAGTTAGATGGTAGCAGTCAGAGTACAAGACTGCTATCCTTGGCTGCTAGTCTGTCTGGTATTTAGGAGCAGGGACAAGAGGCTCCATTCCAAAAAGATGCTGTTGAAGCAGGTTCCAAGCAATTAAGACTCCGGAGGAGTCCTGGGAGCCAGTAGGAGTAGGTAACATGGTACAGAAAAGCCTCAATGGCTTTAGACTTGGAAAAGGTCTATTCCATTAATAATTCAATTATGCAGAGAATTAGGTGAAAGAAATTCACCAGCAGAATTTGCTTGATACAACTGAGAAAGATTAGAGTTCAGAGAAATGAAGGGGCAGTACCAGCTTGGTGAAGATACCTGTCTGCGAACAAGCTGTAGCTGTGCCATTGAATAGATACTGGAGTGCAGTTTCCAGGATCCAGCCAGTACAGACCCAATTGGGAGAGTGAACTACCCAGGACATGAGGAGTCATTGAACAAGTCCATGGCAGAGTTGCTTTTGAGGGAGTTCCAAAGCTAGGCTTGTGAAAGATAAGAATTGGAATCCCTATAGAGTTTTGATGAGTCTTGATAATGCCTAGTGTTACTATTCTGCGAGTTGCTGAGAAATCCATGAACCTCGCTGAGCCACATCTGCCATTCGATCTGTTCTGTAGGGTATTCAATCACAGTTTGTCTATTATCAATTCTGGATGTTAAAATATAAGTTGTATACATATTGTAGGTTCTATTTGCGTAGTGAAGTTAATCATTATCTGTTCAAAACCAAGAAATCTTGAGGCTTTATTGTCTCAGTAAGTAGTCAGATTGTAAAATAAATTTGGTGGTCTGGTCTGGGATCATAACAACTTCAACAGTTTACCACTGCACACACCATAACCAGCAATTACTGGGCCCACTGTTAGTGAAATTTACATCGAGTTGTATAAAAACTCTTACACATTGGTTTGCATGTTCCACCTTGCTGTGAAGCAGCTTGTCATGTTCAAGGCTGTCTTTTGTCATGTTTTCACCAGACTGACTGTGCTTCAGTCTGATTGTCTTCTGCCTCCTAGGCCAGTATCCCATCACTGTACCAGTGAAGATTAGCTCACGGTCTTTTTGTATCACACTCCCAGTCTCAGGTGAGCGGAGAAATTTTAGGGTGTACAAGGTATAAATCAGGCAATTAATGTTTTTAACTGCAGTTCATGGGTCCTCCTATTCCTATTGTTTTTACACTTACTTGCCAATAAGAACCTAATTTGAAATGCTCTTTAATTTCTTAATTTTGGTTAGCTCAGTTGGCTAGGTTGCGGTGCTGACTATAGTTAGTGTCACAGGTTCAATTCCCATGCTGACTACAGTAGTTCATGAAGGCCTACCTCCTCATGATTGAGAAGTGGTTATCCTCAACCTACACTTGTCTCTCTCTGAGAGAGAGAAATGACTATGGTTCTTTAGATATGTACATGGATTAACATTTGAGAGAGAAAGGACATGCTCATGAGGTTAGATGAAGCGTCTGAGAGACCTGCATAGACAAGTGGAACTGAATGATTACTTTAATGCTGTAAATTCTATAAAATTACAGATGCACAAATATTTCAATTTCTTATTGAGCTGAGATCCTCATTATAGAAGGTTTGGCAGAAGGAAATTAATCATGATAGATGGAATTGGCAGCGTCCTTAATGTGGGACTGAATTGACTCACACTATTCTGTGATATCACAACTGTGAGATGATACGTACTTAGGCAGAAGGGTGCAATAAACATTTCTAATTTAATACTGGAACCAATTATCTACATTTCATGTAAAGGTCTGAGGATGAAATTATTGTAAGCCATTATTGTAAAATGAATATGAAACATCACTGAGCCCACTGTTACTGAAATTTACATCTGAAGTAAATGGTTCAGGAAAGAGGAGGCATGTTAAAAAAGTTCACCAATTCAATATCACCCATTACAGCCCTATACTCCAGATCAATTTCACTCCAGCATAAACTCACACATTTCAAACAGTGGTATTTGATTGGTTCCAAATATCATATTCTATAAGGAGTAACAAATCACAACAGGGAATCCACCAAGTAGTATTTATAAGGAGTACAAGGCAAGTGGAAAAGCAACAGTTTTATTGTGACCTGATATCAAGAATTTGCCAGTAGACACTAAAATAAAAACTGGAGCAGATGGGACTTGAATTTGAGATTTCTGGCTCAGAGATAGGGACACTACAACTGCGCAAAAGGAGCCCCAAAACTTCCTTCAGGTTTTTTTTTTAAGATCAGAATTTTCAGAGATGGGATGACACACATCTGGAGTAGATGGGAGTTGAACTCCGACCCTCTGGCGCATTGGTAGGTACATTACCACTGCTCCACAGGAGCTCTCCATGTTAACTGTGTCATTTCATGACACATTCATTGAACATTTTTCCACAACATTTGGTGTAACCCCAGTGAATTGTAGCATTGTTTCATGCTCCCCTTATTATTCATGTTCATGTGTCAAAATTTCACATGCCGCATTGTTATTTCTGCAGTAATTACCAACTAAATGCACCCATCTAAAAAAAATCTAAAAGGTACACATATACCAAGAGTGAATAATGAGTCACATTCCTGCAATTCATTGTACTTCTGATCAAGACATCATTTGCAAATAAAGTTTACCAACATTGGCACTATATCAGCTTTGTACCTGTGCTCAGTAATGCCAATGAGCAAGATGTACGATTATTTGACAACATCTGTAATTTTGCTCACAACTTTCTAAGTCACCAACATGTAGCTATGTTGGTGTTAGACCATCATACCCACAGTTACAGACATCATAGATTTCTTTTAAATTTGGATATTTCAGAATCAGGTTAACCATAACATTTCTCAAACTCCATATATAACACAGCGACAGACATGAAGAAGTTACGACTCTCTTAATGTTTAAACCTATACTCAAGGCTATACATAATATCAATTCCTTCACATGATCAGGTTTAACGCTGTACAGTGTCCATCACGGTAATTACTTCTCATTATATTTTACAGGATTGACTGGGATATTGACCGTGTGAAGTGCTTAGCGTGGAACCACAGGGAGAGGTAGGTAGGATACAGTACATGCTGAAGTGTCATCCACTTCCCTCCCAGAGAGAGGGACAATAGACACAAAGTCACTCTCTTTGAGGTTTCTGTCAGCTGTGGTTCAAGTGAGGCACTGACAGAGACCAAGCAACAGATGGTCTGCCTGTTCTTCTTGATCTGGTAACAGTATGTGGAGATGGGGTGCAGAGAATCATTGGACCAGAAACCAACATAAATGGGGAGGGGGGAGGTGGGTTCGTACATCTTACATTATTTAATGAGATGATTGTTCCTCACTTACTTTTCGTAGTCATGCTTGCAGTAAAGCTTCTTGTCTCTGTAGTAGCAAGTGGTGGTGAGGGGCTCCCTGCACCCAGCACATTGCACACACTGCTCGTGCCAAAAGCTGTCATTCACCCTCAGCAGAAAGCGGTCTACGATCACCCTGTCACAGCCTTCACATACCGCCCTCTCCTTTCCACTGGGCCCTGGAGAGAAAAGACAGGAGGAATCCGTGAAGTTGTTAATGCCACAAGCTCAGCCATCTGCCAGGTGACACCTCCGAGGTACCATTTCCACTGGTATTGGAACTTGGAAGGAGTCAGTCTACATGCAGATAGTGTCGGATACAACAAGGCAAAGCATGAGGTGGAGAGATGGAAAGTGTGTGCTGGATGAAGGCTTGGATATGTACAGAGAGAGTCAAATGGACAGATAGGCAAGTACATGGATGGATAGATAGATACATGAGTAGTAAAGGAGAAAGAGAGCTAGAAGAATAGAGGAGTAGAGATTGCAATGAATTTATTTATGAAAGTAGAGATTCAAAGACATGAATAGGCAATAAGAAATAGTGAAGTGATGGAGACATATGGACAGAAAGGAATGAATATAGGGCATTTTGTCAAAGCCTTTCATTCTTGTACTGATCTGGACAATTCACTAGAAATACCAAAGAAAAGGGAAAACAGCATGTTGCTAAAACATAACGTGTTTTTTTGTTGTTTTCAGCAATGCCAAATGACTACAAAGAAAGAAAACAATTGTATTTACATAGCACCCTTTCCACTCAGAAAATTCTAAAGAGCTTCACATCCAAAGAAACACCTGCAGAAGTGTAGTCATTGTTGTGATGGGCAGCAAAATTGCAAACTTCAAGATCTCACTTTGAGGTAAATAACCAGCTTCAGTGATCAAAATAAAATCAAAAGAATGCAGATCCTGAAGATGTGAAATAGAGCAGAAAGTACTGAAGAAACTCAGCAAGTCTGGCAGCATTTGTGGGGAGAGAAACAGAGTTAATATTTCAAGTCCATTATGAATCTTTCCCAGAACTGAACAAGATTGAAAATGTCATTGTCTTTATGCTATTAGAAAGCAGAGGGAGAAGGAAGACATGGAACTCGTGGGAAAGCTGCCCAAAGAAAATGGCCAATGGAGTGCTAAAGGTAGTAGAGAAAAGATACAATTGAAGAGTAGGTGTTAATGGTAGGTGTTAATACCAGAGAATAGGTCAGTTCTGCTGACAGCAAAACCAAGTAAACAAGACATTGTTGGAGAGGGTTATAATAAAAATGGGCAACGGAGTTCGTGATCTGATATTGTTGAACTCAATGTTGGGTCCTGAAGGTCTTGAATTACCAAAGCAGGCAAACTCAGTAAAAGGAGGACTTCATTTTCCACCTCTGCATTTTACTCTTTTCCAAAAGCATAAAAACCATCACATTTCCAACCATACTCAGTTCCGAAGAGGGGTCATGTTGGAATCAAAACATTAACACTGTTTCTCCACAGGTGATGCCAAGTTACTTCAGGTCCTTCTGTTTTAATTCCACTTTTAGAGGAATTGTGCAAATGGGAGATTTCACCCAATCGGCCAAGAACAGATTTAAAGTTAGGTTTCAAAACTGAAATTTCAATCATGTTTGTTCAACATTACAAACAATTGAATAGATCTTTGCACAGCTCAATAGTTAAATGTAGATAAGGTCTATCTCAGGTAAAAGCCCACACAAACGTAGAAATGCAGACAAAATAAAATGCATTTGACATAGCTACTGCGCACAGTGGGCGGAAACTTCCTAGTCCAGTAGAGGCAGCTTGAAGGCAAGACCTGAAGCATATTTGCAGGTTAGGAGGTTGGATTGGAAAGCCATTGTGTTCCTACCTCCAGGACATTCTCAACACCGAAGATTCCAGACAAAAGTACGGGCAGAAAAGCCTCAGATACCAAAAATCATAGAAACTGCAGCACAGGAGAACACATTCAGTCCAACATGCTACCTCTTAAAGTCATATTTCTCTGTACTTTCACAGTCGCCGTCTACATGCCAATTCATAGGAACAGCGAGTAGAACAGAAGTAGTCCATTCCAGCCTCAAGTCTGTTCCACCATTCTATCAGAATGTGGCTGATTTGTATTTTAATTCTGTCCGTAACCTCGCTTAACAAAAACATATCCATCTCAGTTCTGAAATTAATTCTTTGGGGAGAAAGTCCCAGCCAAAATTAGGGTCTTAAATCTAAACTAAGCCAACTACATAGTTATGAGCGATGATTTAGCTGAGGTAGATGGGGAAACTACATTTAAAAGGTATGACGGGAGACAAAAATGATCTAATATTTAAAGAATGAATACATAATGTTTGAGCAAATTTTAGAATTCAGCAAAGGAGGGTCAGAAACGGATACAGAAAGAGAAAAGAGAACATCGGAGTAAATTAGCAAGAGACAAAAACAGATTGTGTTGTTTCTAAAGGTGTGTAAAGTAGTGAAAGTAAATATGGGCCCATTAGCAACAAAAACAGGTGAAGTCATAATCTTCCATCAGGCAGAAGATAAAAAAGTTTATACACACATACAAATAGATTCAAGAACAGCTTCTTCCCCACTGTTATTAGATTTCTGAATGGGCCTCTCAAATTTTAATGTTGATCACGCTGTCTTTGTACCTTCTCTGCAGTCATAACTTTGTATTCTTTGCTCTGTTTTATAACTCTAATGCATTTTGTATAGTATGATCTGCCGGTACTTCATGCAAAACAAAACTTTTCACTGTACTTAGGTACATGCGATAATAATAAATCAAATCAAATCAATTCAAAAATCATATTGGGGAATAAGGAATAAGGCAGAGACATTAAACAAGTACTTTTTACCTACCATCATGGGAGTTGACATAAAAGCCATTCAGGAAATAATGGGGAGCCAAGTGCATGCTGAGAACAGAAGACTTTTAATAAACAGTATAAGTGAAGAAGTTGTACTGGAGAAATTAATAGAATAATGTAGTGATAAATTCAGTAGACTGGATGATCTGCATCTCAGGGTTTCAAATTAGTGGATGTATTGGTTTTGATCTTCTAGAATTGCTTCGGTTCTAGCATAGTTCTCAAGGATTGGAATGTAAAGAACCTAACAATGCTATTTCAGGGAGGAAAAGAAAGAAAATGAGGACTGGTGAGTCAGATAGCCTAACATCAGTAGTAGGCAAAAAGCTAGAACCTACTTTTAGGATATGATTGCAGAGTGCTGAGAAAATCATCGTATGATTAAGAAGAGTCAACATCCAATAAAGGGAGATTGCATTTGACAAACTGTTAAAGTTGATGGAGCATATAACTAGAAAGATCATTGAGGAGAAACCAGTGGATGAATTTGATTTGAATTTTCAAAAGTCATTTCGTGGTATACCATATATAAGATTATTTCACCAAAATAGGAATGTGGGATTCATGGTAATAAATTAGCATAGAATGAAAATGGGTTAATTGGCAGGAAACAGAGATTAGGAGTAAATAAGAACATTTTGTTGGTTTGCAACTAGCAGGGTGCCATAAGGTTAAGTATTTGAGCCTCAGCTATTTGCAATCTATGTAATGACATAGATGAAGGGGTTGAGTATAATGTATCAACATTTGCTGATAATACTAAGGTAGGTGGAAATTTAAGCTGCGAGAAGAATGCAAATTAAGCCACAAAGGGATCCAGACAGGTTGGATCAGTGAGCAAGAACAAGCCATTTTTTAAAAAATTCTTTCATGAGATGTGGTTTGACCAGTAAGCCTAGCATTCAGACCACAAGGCCACAAAGAGGAGCAGAAATAGACCATTTGGCCCATCAGCTCTGCCATTCAGTGAGATCACAGCTCATCTGATAGTCCTCCACTTTACTTTTGTCTTCCGTTGCTAATGCCGCTTGAACTGAATAAGTTGCCACTTCATAGGGTAGTTAAGATCCAACCGCACTGCTGTGCATTTATATGTGTAGGCCAGACCTGGTAAGGATGGCAGATTTTCTTCCCTGAAGGATATTAATGAACCAGATTTTTACGACATTCGATGATAGTTTATGACCACCATTACTGGGAATAGCTATCTATACTAGATATTTTAACTGAGTCTAAATTCCACTAGGTGCCATGGTAGGATTTAAACCCATTTACCCAGCACCTAGGTCTCTGGATCACCAGTCCAGTAATAGAATATTATGGGGTGAAGCAATGAAGTAATCCACTTTGGTAGGAAAAATTAACAAAGCAGAATGTTGAGACATTGGGAAAAGTTTACATTCGGAGGGATTTGGGTGTCGATGTGCATGAATGACAGAAAGTTAATAAGCAGGTACAGCAAACAATTAGAAAGGCAAACGATATGTTAGTATTTGTTACAAAGGAGTTGGAATATAAGAGTAAGTAAGTCTTATCAAAGTTACAGAACATTGATGGGGCCACACCTGGAATACTGTGTGTAGTTTTAGTCTCCTTATGTAAGAAATCTTTGGAGTTCTCTAACCTCAGAAAGTGGCAGATATTTGATTGTTGAGTACTTAAAAACAAAGGTTGATGGATTGTTGTATGCTGAGGGAATTGAAGCTACTGGGATAGTATAGGAAGATGATCTTGAGGTAGTTGAGGCACGGTCCTAGTCAATGGCAGAATAGCCTCCAAGGGCAAACGGCCTTTCTTACTCTCATTTCTTATATTTTTACAGGTTATCATTTCAGGCTCACCTGTGGAGATATTATCATCACCTTAGCCTTGTGCTTCCTGCCCACAATGTTACGACACTGTTGTTATGGACAATGCAAACTGATTTTAATGTTGTACAGCAATTACTTTGCCTCAATGATTATGATCTGTTGTTATAACAGCTTTCATCCAGCTACTTCATCTACCTTCTGTTACAGGATTTGCAAATGGATTTAAGTAGAATTCCAGTTGCAAAGATAACTCGGCTCATTGATGCAACTTTGTCTGCAGTGAGTGTCTGAGGCTGTAAGAACACTGGGCAGAGTTCAAGAGCTGGAGTCAGAGCTGCAAATGCTGAAAATTAACAGAACACTTTGTCCCAAGGAAGCATCCATACCCTTTAAGCTAGGGGTCTGATGATTCAGTCAGTGTTCAAGGACAGGAAGGTGTTACTGCCAATGAGGCAGGTTCGGGGTTCATGAAGGTGGAAGAAATTTCAGTCTTTGCAATGTCCAATG